TAATAAGAGATAAATTAGGCCACAAACTACAAATTACTTAATATTTCATAATCCAACCCAAACTAATTCAGGAAAAATTCATTCATTCAAAACAAATTACAGCATAGGCTAAATTTCCCTTCACCCCTTTAATTTAGGCAAACTGTCACTAGTAGGGGTGTCAAAAATAAACTTAAACATTGGTAATTTGTTCAATTCGTCCAGAATTTTAAAGTTAAATTCAAGATAATTTGAATTGGATTCAGTCTCAACTCATTCAAGCATAATTTATTTGAAGAGAATCCTCAATTGAGCCCAATTCAATCTCCAATTTCAACTAGTTTCAAAACATTTTATTAAGATATGTTCTTATATTTAAGGTATGAATTACTACCTATTTAACATCTTTTAGGGTTTATCTATTCATTTGTTATATTATAAAAGTTAAATATCAATATGTTAAATTATTAAGATTAATCAGGTCAAATTGGACAGATCAATACCCAATCCGTTTTTACCAATTTGAGCCCAAAATAAACTTAGGTTGATCAATTTCTATTTCAACCGACTTTAATATTCTCAATTTCAACCCAACCCGCCCATTTGATATCCCTAATTACTAACATCATATATTTAGAAAAGATAAGTAGGGGTCAAATAATGGCAAAGTGTATGGACAAACACTATTTGCCAAGTTTTTTCCCGAATATTATTTGAAAAATTTATGGCTAAATGAGCCCTTATTTCGCTTTCCTATCAAACAAAACATAGAAATACCACAATAATATGACCAAGAAATCTAAATGATATATATATAGATTTAGTTTTAGTTAAGCGAAATTATTAGCTGGGGTGTCAATATAAAAGAGGCGAATATTTTTAATTAGTTTGTGTGACATTTGCTTAGTTTTTTCAATATTTTTAGTAAAATGTTCATTTAATATGGAACGGGGAGTATTGATGTAGTTAATGGGCCTTTGAGGTTGGGCTAATATGGGCTTCAGCCCAGTGTAAGATTCTACTATCCAGAGTCGTTTTGTATCGTCGCATCTGAAAAAACAAGTGGTGGTAATTGATCGGACGGCGTGAGGCAACATTTATACAAATTACTCCATTTTCAGTAGTACAGATTTTGCAGAAAGCTGACAAGCACAAGCTAAGATGATTTATCGGTTAAATGATCTGCTGTTGAAGAGTCCACTTTAAGTATTAAAGCGCCGGCATGTGTACGGGCTCGGACTCGGGTTTGGGTTCGGATTCTAAGTCGGATCCCGACTCAAACGGGTGGAGCCGAGCTCGTGGAGCGGTTCTCAAGTCGCTGGTGCTCGTCGGAGGAGCCTTATTGCTCCGGCGGCTAACTAAGTCGACTACACGTTGGGACCATGCTCGAATTGTCGCAGAGTCACTTAACGGTGAAAAGGTACTTTTTTTGCGACTTACTGCTTTCTATCTCTGCTATCTTTTGGGTCTCTAGCACTGTGCAAGTGATAATAAATGATATTTTTGAGTTCTGTTGTAGTTTTCAAAGGAGCAAGCTGCTAGGGATCCTGATAATTATTTTAATTTCAGGTATTACATTCTTCGTTTGAAGTTATTACTGTTTCCTCTTTTACTTTTGGATGTGTTAGAAATGGTTGCTGCCAAATTTGCTTGTGTGAGTTTTGCATAGCCGATTTTTCCAGCTGTATAATAGGTAAGTAGTGTTGAATCTTATTTACTTCAATTTCATGATTGGAGATTGGCTCGAATGGAGCTGATTGAGTAACTAACTTTCAACTGCTCTATAATGAGGCTTAGTGGATTTTATTATTGGAGGTGTACAGTAGAAGTGGATTTTATTAAATGTTGATATTTTGGCACTTTTGTATGTTGTTCTTCGATTGGCCTGCAAAGTTACAAACCTTTTTTTTTAGAGATGTAGTGTTTAGGCTAGCTTGTGTGCAGCTCAACTAATTCCATGGGGTACCTCCCACACCAGCACATGTAACGAGTGACTCGATCTATCAAAGCTTCAATAGATTGGAAGAGATTACCTAGTGGTTTTGCTTCTGTTAGGATTTGAACTTGAGACGTCATGATTGTCAACCCACTTCATTGGTCACTTCTAGGTCACACCCTTGGTTGTGGAAGTCACAAACTTTAGGATGCATACCTTTCATAATTTGGATATCAATCTTCGAATGATCCATTCAGGCATGTGAGTGTGCTTCTCTCCAGGAGCTTTGCTTCTAGGCTCTAGCATATGGTCATCTCTTGATGTAGAAAAGACATGGTGAAAGTTTTTTTATTTGAAAATTTTCTTTTATTCACCTTTCATATTTTCATGTCTAGATGGCTTTCCTGTCCTGCTGCAGACATGGTAGATGGCTCTAAGGTTTTATATTTTGAGCAGGTAAATATCTCTATATCACGATTTGTTTTTTTCATGCTCCAGGTCTGAACCAAGAATGATCAGTTTACGATGGATCTAATTTTGTTTTGTAGGCATTTTGGCGAACACCACACAAACCCTTTAGACAGGTGAGTGAAATCCAATAATTTTTTGTTTGTTCTTGACATTTCTATCTGTGGCATTATAGACCTGATAGCTCTAGTCCAGTTTTTCTGTCTTGTTTGCTTTGATTGCTGAAACATACATAATCCCATAAGATGGCTGAAGTTTTTAATTTGATTTGTTGCTCTTATAGCTGAGAGAACTTCAGTACTTAATTTCTAACAGAACTCTTTTGCAGAGATTTTTCATGGTCAAGCCTTGTGCAAAGGAGTTGAAATGTGATGTTGAGGTTGGTCCAAATTCATATTTCTGTAACTAAACTTTGCTCTGCATTCTACTCCCCTTGCTAAGCCTCTTCACACTTATGTTTGGCATGAGTAGCATAAATTTAAAACACTTACTTTAGTGTAGAACCATCATCCTTTATTGTTGCATCATGTAGTATAATGTGATTGGGTTCAATTCTACTTCACATACAGGCTTGTTCGCTTGAATAATTACTCATTTTAATTTATTGTTGGTGGGTGTGGGTGAGGAGGATTATCAGGAGCTGAATAGAAGCATGAAGGTATGATGATGGTCTTCTGGTTGATAGGAAAATATTCTTTCTGCACTGACTGTAATGGGAATACTACACCTTCCCTACATGGTTGCCTGTTCATGCAGCTGAATTCTAGAATTCCTGCAACTCTCCTGCAGTTTCCCTTTTTTTGGGTGTGTGTGTGTGGGGGGGGGGGGGGGTAATCCAGTGATGGAAAACAAGCACTGGTAATAATATTGCAGCCTTTAATTCCATTATCAGTTGCTAATAATATTTCTTTATCTTCCTGTACAACATCTAGTTAAGCACATATGCTATCAGAGATGCAGAGGAGTACAAGAACTTTTGTGATCGCCCTAGGGATCAGCGTCCACAACCCGAAGAAGTTATTGGGGTAAATATTCAAATACATTAAGATTGAATCTATTGTTTCTTTATATTTTACATTTGAGTATAGACTCAGTCTGTACCTTTGTAAGATGTGTTCTCTCTTATGCCATATCTCTGTTGCTTAAATAAATCAAGTCTACCATGACAAACTGTTTAATAAATTCTTAGTTTGGTAAATACTTCATAGAAGTTTGATTGTTATGGAAATAAAACTGTTATAGAACATACAGTAACCTGGAGGAAACATTTAGGAATTTGCTGGAAAGTCAGTTTAGTTCTATCGTTATGTGCAGGACATTGCTGAACATTTGACTACCATTCATCTAAAGCGCTGTGAGCGTGGGAAACGGTGCTTGTATGAAGGTTCAACACCTGCAGATGGATTTCCTAATTCATGGGTATTTCCCTATGTTTTTCATTAATCTTAGTGGTGAGATCCATATCATGATAGCCTTTGATGTTTTCTCCTTTCCTATTAAGTTTTGGAAGTTTATTTTGCCTATGTAGCAGAATGGTGCGACATACTGTACCTCAGAACTTGCTGTGTTAAAGAATAATGAGATACATGCCTGGGATAGAGGCTTTGATGATGATGGCAATCAAGTTAGTTCCATATGCTACGTACTTGTTTTTTCCTTAAAAGTTATAACCTGTCTTGTGAATCTTGTCTCGATTATATATCCATTTATTTGAAACCTCTGACAAGGCTTGTTTGCCTTCCAAATGTTACAGGTTTGGGGTGTAAAAGGAGGTCCTTATGAATTCAAGCCTGCTCCTTCTTCAAGTTTTAACGATGTGCTAAATCCTTTGAGTTTTGCTTCACAACCCCTGGGGAAAAGAATAGAAGGCTCATTTGTCCTCCAGGAATGATTTCTTGTTATATAATCCCCCCACCCCAACTGCCCACATCTTGTAAATCATAACTCAATTAGTATTATGTTTAAATTATAGTAAATCATAAGGTGTTTTATATTTCAAAGCTAACTGTTTTCTGATGATAGTTCTGATCTTTCTCTGAGAATGCCTGAGAGAATTTTGCAGAAACGGTAATCACCGCTTGAATTAAGATTGATGTTTGTCATGTATGACTGATATAGTGTTATTGAGAGAATTTGGGATCAATACGTCTTGTCACTGCGGCATGTCAATTTGGTACTACAAAATTTGAACTGCCGTATCTTTGGCTCTGTAAAAGTAGAATTCTACGGAAGGAAAAGATAACAATAACAAATTGCTAGATTCATAATGGGTCATTTCATGTCTCTCTTCAGCTATGTCCTTAATTTTTTGTGGGTGCATTCTTGCCTTTGTCTAGAAATGTGCAGTTGGCTATCAACCAATTGGTATCTTAAAAGTTGGCAGATATGTCAAATTTAAAACACTCATGTTTCAACAATTCAATTGTACAAGGGGACATCCTGTTTGGAAAAATATTACTAGCATTCAGTGTTAACGTTCAAATCAATGAGTGCAAGACAATTCAACACAGCGCCCAAACAGAAGGCACTCAGATCCACCTAAATCGTTGCGATTATCATGGATGAAAATGCTATGATGGATGATAATAAAACATAAAGAGGTGGGAAAGCAGGGATCGACATAAGCTTGTAACTAAGAATGCTTAGATGCTGAAATAACCTTGCATGTTGAAGCAACACAAAAACTGAATAAAATTTTGACAATGTCCTAATATCACAAGGACACGAATAGGCAAGTGAACATACCCATATCTCTAATGCAGAGCCCTACTGATCCAAATATGAACATGGACTACATGGTTAAAATTTACAACTCAGATGAATTAAGCAAGTTTGGCACAGAAGAAGGTTTTGGTGCCAAACAGAAGAGTGGAATCATCACCAAGAGCCAGCCTCTACCAAGGTTTGAGGTCACCAACTGGACCAGCAGTCCAGTTTAAGGACTTCTCCCCCGGCTTCAAGTAATTGGTCTTGTCATGTGGCAGTTTCCGTGCAAGTCCATTCAAAATCTGATGAAAAGCATCACCTGATTGAGCAGGTGTTGGAAACAACATTGCCTGCTTCATTGAAGGATTGGCAAGCAGTCTCTGCTTCCTTAATATTTCTTCTGGTCGAATAGAAGTGAGAATGGTGTCCAAATTTGGAACATCTTTCTCTGCTACAAACACGCCTATATCTTCCCAAGGGATTGCGTCAGCAAATGGCAAGACAATGTCATCTGCTATAATAACAGGGATGCATCCAAATATAACTGCTTCAACCAATCTCGGACTCCATGGTGCCCATCCTAGAGGGCACAAGCAAAAGATGGCTCGCTGCATGTCTTCATAGTAAGTAGTTGGATGCTCAGTAGAAATATCAAAGAGAGGATTGTTTTTAAAGTTCTCCCACACTGCTGCTCGGGCACCTCTGAAGTGAGAAATAATCATAGTTAGTTATTTTGTCTTTCCATGTCTCGGAGATCAGTAGTGAGTAGACTAAATGAGAATATTATTTGTCAACTTCTACAGTCATCATTTATTTAAACAATCTTCATTCATTCCCAGAATCACAATGAATAAATCAATTAACTAAGCATCAATACTAGGGCCTTTTGATAAGTAGCTTTAGTGTAAAAAACAAGTGATTTATTCATGAGTCATGGGTATACCTAGCATAGTAACCACCCTCTGGATCATTTCCAACATCATAAAACAAGCCTCGGAAATAAACAAAGATAGACCGGGGAGTATCTGGAGGGATCAAGTGGGACTGCATTTTCTGTGGGGGAGCATATGGAGGAATTGTAATTGAACCATCCTTCAAACAAACATGATTTCTTTGTCCAAAAGTTTGAACCAAGGTAGCACGTTGGAGCAATGGAAGAATTCCCCTCTCAATAGCTTTTTCTTCCTGCAATGGCGCAAAACCAATGTAACCAAAACATCTTTAACACCCTTGACAGAAATGACTGAAAAATTGAGTTGAAAATGACAAAACTGATAATCATGAACCTAAGGGATATTTGTTGGTAACCTTTCCGTGGGTTCTATCCAATTATGTGAGTGTGTGTGTATGATAGAGAGAAAGAGAGAGATACTCACTTGATAGTGAAAACAAGCACCAAAATCATGTGGCACAATAAAGAAGTGATCAGCTCCCTCTGTCCTATTCCAGTAAGGCCAGTTAGAAGAAATAAGTTGTATTGCACTCCTCATCATACGTGGTGACTTGAAGGGTAAAGGAAGGCCATTTGGTGTAAGGTCACAAGTACTGTAAACAGGGGTGTAGAACCAATCTGCTTCCTCGGGATTAAAGGTTCGAACAGCGCTAGATAATAGGAAACGATGCATAAAGATTTCAGCAGCAAACATGTGGTTGAGGCATCGCTGGTCTTTCTGCAGAATTTTCTTGTTATATTTGCTAGGAAGCTCATAGACAAAAACTTTTAATCTCCCAACTGGATTATCTTCCAAGACATCACCCGCACTTCCTAAATTTTGGAAATAGAAGGAAAACTAAGAAGTTAATACTTAGTGTTGTAAGCAAGTATCCAAATCATTATAGGCTAAAACCATTTAAACAAGTAAAAGATGATGTTTATATGCTCAGAAGAATTTGGAACTCTGTTTTATTGAGAGTCTCAAAATACCCCTTGGAAATTTATGACTAACCTTAAAACATCTAAATTACAACCTAAATACCTCATCTTTATACAGGGTTAGCTCTAAGGTGAGCACAGTTGTTATAATTGATACTATAATGATTCCTCATAGGAATGATCTTACGGGTTAACCACTACTATATCCCTATAGAACTTAGAATACGTTAATGAAACCAGCTGAAATCATCAATAATATTGGAGCCTTTAAAGAAAAGTCTTACACAGGAATGAAAGCTAATATCGTCAATCTCACTAACATGAATTTTCAATAGTGCCTCTAAGACCAGATACTTGTAACCTCCTACATTGCCTAAGTTCCCCAAAACACATCCATTTCAGAGCAGGAACAGCTGAATCTGGACATATTTAATGAAAACAAAAAGTCCAAAAGAAATTCATACAAGTATGAAGTATCCAATACAAGAAAGACATAATTCACTATAACAAACAAGTATTCCCATCTCAGTAACAACGTGTAACACACGGACTCTTCACTTTCGATGCTAGACCCGTCCACATTATTGAAGAGTCCGAGCAACATAGGTAAAAACAACAACATAATCCAACGAGTGGATTCTGGGGAGGGTAAGAGAGATTGTTTTTGATAGACCCTCGGCTCAAAAAGTATTCTCATCTCAGTAAGACATGAAATTACACATAATTCCAAGCTAAACCAAAAACAATTAGCACCCAAAAGAAAATGTACCTGATATTCTCTCAGTATGTTCAGACCTATGAAATTTCAAGCCTTCAATTTTCAACAACAAAGCCAGATAAAGAAGAACAAAAATACCCAAAGTCCAACTCTTCATTTTCTGTTATCTCCCTGTACAGAAAACAATAACACTCTAAAATGGCTCAAAACAACAAAAGAAGACCAGATATTTAATGGGTATGCCCCAATAACAAAGAAAGTTTGGAAATTTGTTATTAATATAATGGGTAGGAGGAATCAACAGTTAGAATGTCATTAGCTGGGGTAGTTGTTAGTAGTATTTTCTTGCTACTGGGGCTCTTTCAAAGACAGCTAAGAAGAGAGAAGTAAAAAAAAAATGAAATCTTTGTGATTCTTGTATAGAGTGAGAAGAACAAAGATTGATAGGGAAATGGGGTTAGTAAGAATTTGCTTCAAGAAACAGAGAAGAAGGAGGGGGGGATTTGGTTTGGATGTCAATTTTCAAGCAACTGCTAAATTTACTTTCTTGAAAAACTTAGCAATATTATATTGGATGTATCATGTACAAGCACTGATGCACTGGAATTGTGTAAAAGAAGGTACATTAGATGAATTTCTCAAATATAAATAAAATATCTACTCAAAAGTTATTGAATTTCTAAAAATCCATCCGCTACATAATTTAGATTTGCCCTATTGGAGAGGTTGAGATGGTGAGGTATACTTAGATATTATCCCAACATCATTAAGCTATTTTTGCTATAAATATATTCAATGAATTTGATTTATATTCGCTAAATTTAAAATTTTAAAAATATATTAGCATTAGATTGGGAATATGACTACTTACAGTCATCAGATTTTATAGTCATCAGATTTTATGCAGATCTGCAAATAAATAGAATTAATACTAGCTTATATATATTTGTATTAAACTCATTTAGTATCATAAAATAAAAAGAAGTAGGTGCAATGTACCGATTGTGAATTATTGAATTCTTTTTGAAAGAAATATAAAATTATCATAAAGAAAAAAGGTATAATACATAGGTCTTTTAACTTGACTTCAAATCATATTTATTTTCTTCAATTTTGAATGTGTACAAATAGACATTTAAATTTGTATGAAGTTGAACAAATAGACACGCATGTCCTACATGTCATCCTTCATATTATTTTTTATCCTACGTGGTGTCCTACGTGTATTGTGTCATATAAGACTCGTGTGTTTATTTATTTAAAAGTTGAATAGTTAAAGTGTCTGTTTGTGCATTATGAAAGTTGAAGGTCAAAGTTAAAATTTAAAGTCAAATTTAAAGTTCAAAATATATATTATGTCAAAAAATAAAATAAGCAAATTAATACTATATGATTAAGAAGATGGGTTGCTTTTAGATGTCGATGTAGTTCCTTGTTTTTTTATTTGTTAAGTTAGAAATGTGGGTTAAGCTTGCTTTTGTAAATAGATTATTATGCATTAAGCACGTTCTCTTCTAAATTATTTGCGGATCAAATAATTTTGTAATTCTTTACAAATTTTTATTCTAATTTTTATAGCTTTTTCTTTGCATAGAAAAAAATAAAGTAGATGTCCAGAGAACGTAGAAACATTCCGTCACTTGCAAAATGTGGTCATATTAATTGTGCTAATTTCTTATGTAATTACCAAATGAATGAGCTTATTTTACTAAATAAATTGAGTTGGTACATTTATTTTGTAGGGAAAATATGATCGCTGAATAATTCCATCGTGTTAAGTATGGTAAATATAGTTGATAAATCCTAATTTTCTCCATTCCATTATTCGAATAACTCAATTCTAATTCATTATTTATAATATCTTCACCATTTAAGGCTCGTTTGGTATGATATATTAAAAATATTAATACTAGTTATATTGAAGTTATTTCGTGTATATTACTTAATTTGATGTATTTAAAGGTTATGAGAGTAATTATATGTTTTTTCATACTAACATATGCATTAAAATCTTTTACATAGTCAATATCATGATTTGCATATATTAGTTATATATAGCATGATTAACAATTAAAATATTTAAGTATTTCACTAGTACATTTAAAAAAATATACTAAATAAAGTATTGTTAATACACAAAACGAAATAAATCCTACCAAACGATAAGGAGTTGAAGAACATGGATGTTGCAACCACATAGACAGAGAAGCATAACCAAAGATGCTAAGAGGTTATGTTAATAAAAGAATGACCATAGGATTAGTGCAAATGATATTTGTGGAAATAATGAAATTCCTTCAAATTTAAATTTGTTCGCGAAATTCACTTTAATGCTATAATTTTATAGACGTTTCAACTCTTTAACAATAATTTTTTTTGTTGAAGTCATCAAAAATTTACGTCCTTGGTCCATTATATTTTTTGTGGTTAAAATAATTATCATTTTGAAAATCAATATATAATTACTTGTTTATTTTATTATTACTCAATAAATATGAAGAAAATTTAATGTGGTAAAGGAAAATACTAATTAAATTATGTATCTTTTTAGTTAATATTTTTTAAGGACCTGTAAAAAAAATATGAAAAAAACATGACGAATAAAATGGTCTAGCGAAATAAGTAAATAAAGTATAAATTTATAGGGTTTGTTTGAATCGACCTATTTTTATCATTCTATATTAAAACTAAGTGCTTACAACATTTTTCTAAATTTACTCATATTTTAATATGTTTAAAAGTTATTTTAGCTAAAACGCATTTAAAATAAATTAATTTAAATAGGCTTTAGCCATAAAATTGGGATTACAATGGAGCAGTGTGGTAAATATTTAAGATTGTGTTGAGCGAAAATGATGTGGGGCAGGTTGAGGTCGGTGTTTTTAAACTAATGCAGATGGAGCGGGTTGCTGGTATATATAATTCTATCTAAGTTCAAATTTAATTTTAACTTTTTATATGTAAGGGTGGTAGAACCTTAATTATTAAGATAATATTTTAAAAACTACATTGAAGATAGTAAATGAAAATAGTTCATGATACAATTTTTACATGTTTCAAAATTTGACCTCTAACAAGTTTCAAGTCATTATCTATTAAATTAATACAACTTAATTAAAAAATAAAAAAATTTTATTTTCGGAAAAGGGCCTAAAATACCTTTAAAGTATTGAAAATAGTACAAAATTACCATCCATCCACCTATTGGCTCCAAAATGCCCTTTTCATCCACCTATTGGCTCCAAAATACTCTTGTCATCCACCTTTGGGTTCAAAATTGACCACTTTTTTAATTGTTTTAAAATTTAACTCTTTAAATATTTTTTAAAATACTTGGCGTTCAACTATTGATTATAATTTTAATTTATTAATATAATTTATATTCAATCCACTACCCACTCATTACTAACTAAACCGTACTCAATTAATGATTCAATTATAATATCAAAATCGTCATAAACACTACTAAAACACGACAAAATTATAGATTCCTTAAAATGACATACAAAATTATTCGAGTCCGAATCGAAACCCCAATTAAATTTAGGTTGAGCCGCTTTTTTAGGAGGACACTTTCTTTCAAAATTGAATTAGAAATTTATGATTAAAGGTAAACAAGTAATACATCCCGAATTAATTCATGCCCTTTTTTTTAAATCTAATTTTTAAATATTTATGGTTTGTTTTAAAACCTTTAATATATTTGAAAAAAATTTACGTATGAAGTAAAATCGCATAATTGAGACGTAAGAATAATTAAGATGAACATAATCAGACTTTTAAGTTTATCGGTGATTTTTATTTAGCCACTTGAATGTATGTAATTTACTTTTATAATTTTTAAAAACAATCAATTGGCAGTAGCTTGCATTAATAATGTGACGGTTTATTAAGAGGAATTTGATTAGTAATGGGTGGGTAATGGATTGATATATAAATTATACTAATACGTTAAATTATAACAAATAGTTGAGCCCCACGTATTTTAAAAAAATATTTAAATAGTTTAAATATAAAACCGTTAAATAAGTGGTCAATTTTGAACCAAAAGGTGGATGACAAGGGTATTTTGGACCCAATAGGTGGGTGAAAAGGGTATTTTGGAGCCAATAGGTGGATGGAGGGTAATTTTGTACCATTTTCAATACTTTAAGGATATTTTAGGCCTTTTTCCGTTTTATTTTTTGTATCAAACCTAGAAAATGAATTATTAAAAAGATTATACGAAGCGTGTGCATGCGGAACTAGATGAGACGGATTAAAAATGAAAAAATTGTTATACGTGACGGTTTAAAATTATGAGATTTAAGCTCAACCCACCTGGCTGCGCCTCACAGCCCCATTGTCATCCCTACACAAAATATTCTAATCGAGAAAAATACAATGCGGCTCTCTTAGAATCCATTTGGATATGCAATATAAATCATGATTTAGAATCAAACTGATTTGAAGTTAAAGTTAAATTTTTATTTAAACATGTAATTTTGATTTCTTATTTCATATTCATATTTTTTCTTATAAATATAAAAAAATTATAATTGATGAAAAAATTCTCCGATTCTCATAGTACAATTCAGTTTATAAAAAAGTTATAATTGATGAAATTTTTTTCTCCAATTCTCATAGTACAATTCACAAATGAGCAAATATAATTCATAAATAAGTATCATCCTATCTTAACGCGCCACATAAAAAATCACATATCTCCATGTTATTTTTATAAATAAATAGTTATAATCACAAACTTTCATATATCTAATTTTATAAAAATTCAATAATAATTTAATTTATTTTTTTACATTACTATCTTAACGCGCCACATAAAAAAAATCACATATCTCCATATTTTTTTTATAAATAAATATTTATAATGACAAACTTTCATTTATCTAATTTTATAAAAATTCAATAATAATTTAATTTATTTTTTCACATATTTCAATGTCAAACTTTGTTTTCTCTTTTTCCCCTTCTTTCCCAGACGGTGGTTTCCATTGCTTAAATCTTCTTCATCCTTCCGACTCATAGATTTTCTCAAGCTTATTTGGTTATCGAGAGGTGGCTTAGCTTGAGTTTACTCTCCATTGTTGTATTCTCCGAGATCGGAGATAAACGGATTGGATCTGGAGATCAGATACTGTTTTAAAAATCCTCATTTTTCATATATTCACTGCAATTTCGCTTTAGGATCTTGATTTAAGGTACCCTTCCGCCGTTTTTTATACCCTTCTCTTTTTTTTTTGGTTATTGCAGATTTTAAATTGCCTTATACAACGACTGCCACTTCGTAATGGATGTAAAGTTCGGGTTTTTACCCAAAAAATATAAAAATTCTTTCTGAGAAAAAAGGGTAGGTTCTTCAAAAGGAGAAATTTTGGTTTATTTAGGAAAAGAAAAAAGAGAAGAAGAAAGTCTGGTCTGAAAACTAAATTTAGTTGAATTTGGTTTGCTGGAGAACTGGGTTTTATTTGGTGGGTTAGGGTTTTGAACCTTTTCTTCAGTTTCTTTTAACCCCTATACCCAGAAAAACATGCAATTACTAACCCGAGTATGAAAACTTGTACTTAGTGTAGGATTTTAGTTAGCTTGCTATTTGCTTTCGAAAGTAATTAACTGGAAATAAATTAGGCAATTAATGTTGGTACTTATTCAGTTTGTTTGGTTTATATAAGTTTACAGAACTTTTGGTAACTTTGCTTCATGTTGGGATCTGATAGACTTTGTTCATGATCCGTTTTCTAGTTGCTTTTAGCTGCTTAATGTTAATGCTTTGTATGATATCAAGTTCTATGTCCTCTTATGTGTTTTAAGTTATGAAACAATGTGGTATTGGAAGTTAATATTGCCTATCAAAGTTACAAATGTAGATTTTGAAAGTTTTTTCTAGCAAGAATTATGGTATGAAGATTCTATATATCATTCTAGTTTAATGAAATTTCGGCAACGGGGCATCAATCAGAACTTGGAAATTTAAGTATTGTGTGGTCAAAGGAGCTTAATGCTGTAAATTTTGCATAACCATAGCTAAGTACCTGACTCCATTATAGGACCAAGACAGTCCTAGTGTCCAAGCTCAAGTTTTCCGATTACGTGCCAGTTCTAAGGTGGTATACGCTATTGAACATATAGACTCTGGTGCTTTAGAAAATTGTAGAGCATTGCAATGAAAGATGTTGCAGAAAAGCATTGGGGCATCTTAGAGATTGGAATAGTAAATGTTGTCCAAGTCTTGCACTGGTTAATCTGGGTTATCTGTAACCTCAAGGCCAAAGTTGAGGTATTAAGCAGGCAGGCTATTGCAGAAAGTCTGCTCGAAATTTGCTGTGCAGTAGCAGCTGGCTAGGATCATTAACATTGAAGAACGGAACTTCAGTGGTAAATGCAATAGTAAGCCGTAGAGTCTTCTCTCCCAAAAGAAAAATGAAGGGGAGAGAAGACTCTAGACAACAAACCATGGTTCTTCAGCATCATACATCACGGAGTTGGGAATATTTCTTTTCCTGATAAATGACGAGAGTTAAACCTGTCATAACTGTTTGAGTGGAAGGGGCCATATAAATACAGTTGCAACTTAAAATATGACTACAAATTATTCCTTTTTTGAGCTTGAATGGAGATTTAATTACCTGGCAGCTCGCAGCTATATGTTCTATACCAAAGTCTCTTTTTGACTATTATATGTTTTTCATTTCGGGGGTATAAATGTTACTTTAAGGTCATTGTGTATATGTATAAGAGTTACAACCTTGGGTCATTAAAGAAAAAGATTATAGAGAAGATTGAATAATTCAGAAGATGACATGTGAGACGATAAATAAGAGCACTGTTCTTGCTCAGTGCAGAAAGCTATTAAGAGACTCAGATTTTTCTTATTTCAAAAGCATTGCTCATGAAACCTTAATGGTTTATGCTTCTACAATCTTTTTATATTTTGTAGGGTTTATTTACTTAATGAATCTAGTGTCAACTTAGTGGTGTAGTATCCTTTTCATTTTGATCTGGTTATAAGGTGTTCATGGCCAGCCATTGTTTCCTTATTCCATTTCATCATTCGGTCAAAAGACAAAGAGCTCTAGTATGAGAGGAGTTAACAGATGCTTCTTTACTTTTTATAGGCTTGGTGGAAGGCAAAACTGATTTAGAGAGGGCATTCAGATATGGTAAGTTAGACTACAGTTATTGTTATTTTGTTGTTGAATTTACATGCACTATGCTCATTTTCTTTTGCTGGTATTTTCAGTCGGCACTCTTCAATTTCCACTCCTTTTTGACAGTAGTGCTGTTAGGGATTTGTACATGCACTTATGTGAAGATGCATTTTCCTGCACTACTTGAACAGAGAACTGGGTAAGTCTTCTCTATAAGTAATTTGTTGTAGCTACTGTATAGGAATTTGGCATTGGTGTCAATGTTACCTATGTTGATTCTTAATAATTCATATAGCAGGTCCTTCTTTATTTCCTCTAACTGGTTAGTAAAGACTTAAGATTGGTTTTCTAATTCCTTTATTGTGTGGATACCTGGTTGGAGATACCTTTTTGTAGTGCATTTTCTGAATTTATGCTACTTCTTCTGCCCCATGTTTCTATAATTTTGTCATGGTTGGAATTTCATGTATGATCACATTTAGGTAGTGCAGGTAAGCCTGTTCTACTGTTACTGGGTACTATGTAAACCTATAAGATGGTACATTCTGCTGTTGGACCGTTCTCATAAAGACACATATTAGTCCCTCTCCACGCCCCCCCCCCCCCCCCCCCCCCCCGGGACGGCCCCTTCTCCCTTCCTCCTTTAATGTCCTCCCTCAATTGTTTTTTACAACGAAATAACAGGGGCAGTAGAGTAGAGTGACAGGTTAGGATTGGAAGAAGTATCTTAGAAGAAGCGGGGTTCAGGAGAGGCAAATGCTTTGTGAGATCAAAATTCTTATCCCTTTCCATCTTCTGTCTTTCATAAAGTTTAACTCCATAAAATGAAGTTTCTAGTATGGTTTATGTACTAGCAACTCAAGATTGATGATTTTCTTCATGCAATTATCCTACTCCTGAACTATGTATATCCACTATGACAAGCCATATAACCCGTTTTATGCATCATATAGTACTTAGAGAACAGAGAATATGAGGATTTAAGGGTATTAGATGTACTTCTGTTTCTCTGGGGAGATTAGTAGTTACACCTATGTGTAGATGGTTTTTCATTTGAAAATGGCTTTGCTAGGTCAAAAGATGTTAAACTCTTATCCGAAATGTTCTCACTGTGGGGAGAAAAGATCACAAGGGCCCTTTTAATTGGATCTAATTTTTTCGTTGGCTTTCAATGGGCTTCAACATGTTATTTTAAGTTGAGGGAATCTCAGGCATTGACTATTTTGTTTGTCTGGACTCTGATAATTGAATTTTCAGGTTTTGAAGCTAAGAAAGTTGTGTAATGTTTTCTCCAATTTTATCTCCCCCTAATGTTGTGGCTTGTTACTTTATTTTATGTCTTATTTCATTTTATCTCTCTATTCCCTGTATGTTCTTCATCCTAACTAGAAGGTAAACTTGGCAGGTTTCGAGGTTTCTTTTGGAAGGCTGCTAGAATAGGTTAGTTATCTCATCTGCTTGCAGCGAATATTTGTCAGGACTAATTTCCTTATCTTGTTTACAGAATCGAAATTATTTTGCTTATTGTTAAAAACATTGCATGCATTTTCTTAAACAATTCTGGCCTGTATCCTAGTGAAACCACACCATACAATAGGATGTTGATGAAATGCTGAATCACTGCCGAAATGAGGACATACAGTTGACATTTAGGCATCATACTATGACAAAAACGAGTAACATTTTCCTGGCTAAGCATTGTAATTCTCTCATAAGGCATCATCTTGATAGGAAGTTCTTGTAATTCTCCCTTGATTGACCACTTCATAATATTTTTGGAATATCATGATCTTTTTCGCTTCCCTGTTTTTAATGTGACTGGAAGCTTCATCTGTTTGTGTGATTGCATATTGCTTAGATGCCTATTTAACCCATCAAAAGAACCGTCACATAAATGCCTATTTATCTTCATGGTGGTTCTTCATCCTTTTACTTTAACTTTGAACATAAAAATCACTCTTCTCAAAATTTCTCCTATACCTAAAATTTGTAATTCCATTATCATAAAACACATAAATTTTATCTTTTATCCATTTATCCTACCAATGCGTGAATTTGACGAGGTGTTCTATACTTCAATGTGGACAGGTGAACGGTTGAGTCCTTGGGTGGCAGTGGGCTGCTTGACGATGGGTGTTTCAATAATCTTCTTCTGAGAGAACAACTGTTTGCAATTCATGAAAGTACACTCTCAGCTGGGCTTAAATTAGCACTTGAATCTATTTTTCATCAAATGATCTGTTCGATTAAAAGATGGCACGAAACTTGATGTGACACCAACACTGCTTTCTTGATCATGAACTGAGTTTTATCGTGTGGAAATTTTGGATTGTGACAATGTTCGACTCTCTGTTCTGTCCTTTTCTTTAGACTAATTATTTTACTGCAAGTAGTTTTATCAAAAAAGGTAAAAAAAAAAGATTGACAAAAATTCTAAAAACGCAACAAAATTGATCTTTGTCAAATACAATTCAAAAGAGATGTACCGTGAGATTGACTTATATGTGATGTAAGGTTGATGAAATTCAATAAAGTGTGTACATACAAATAAAGAAACCTCCTAACCTAAATTAAACACAAACAAAAATTACCACAAAAAAAATAGTATATTGTTAATAGCAGACAATATTTTTCCATAATCTATTTTATAAAAGAACCATTTATAGCAGACACTATTTTTCCACCAAAATGTTGTCAACTCTGACTTTTCTTCCACCACATATACTTGTGATTGTATGAAATAATGGAACAAGTCCCAAGAACTTCTGTTGTATATATAATTGTATGAAACAATTTCTTTTTTTAATCAGCAGCAAGTCGCCATTAGAATAATGCTTTTTCAGTTCTAAAATCAATTTTATTGCTTTTTTTAAATTTTTGACAATTTTTTTTTACTCTTATAACTCTGGACTATAGTTTTATCTCTGTGTCAAAGAAGTCTGATGCTATCTTCTACTTGATGATGAGTATCATCAATCATGTCGTATCATTTGCATCGACAGCAGCTTCTTGAAGTAGCAGTGGATCCTCCCAACCACAAATAAAATAGAAGAGAAAAACTATGAATAATTGAGTTGGAAAATATTGTCAAAATCGATGTCCATTCTTATGCCAAGCATTAATTGGTTTGTCTTCTGGCCAGCTGCAAATCTTACACCAATATAAATTACCATCGTATGGTACACATGAAAATATAAATTAGATATAATACAAAAATGTGTCTTTTTAATTTGAATTTATTTCGTCTTTGTGTCTTTCAATTTTGATTGTGCAAAGGTAGATACTTAAATTTATATAAAACTGAACAAGTAGACACATGAATCGTATGTAGCATAATACATGTAGAAACACAAATTGTCATGTAGGATATGTGTCTAGTTGTTTAACTTTATACAAGTTTAAGTATCTTTCCATGCACACTAAAATTGAAAGACATAATTATAAAATTAGATCAAATTAAAGGAGTTAATTATGTTCTAACATATTTCATGTATTAAGTATCATAAATATATTCAATTTTCTTATATTTGTTTAATAAATCTCACGAGAAGAAAAACACATGCAAAAGTTTTTTTTTTTAAAAAAAAACTATAAGACAGAAGAAAAGGTAATTACCTGCTATAGTCCGTATGTTTTTTTCCATGTACATTAGAGTCCGACTAAATTTAAACAGCGTCATAAAATTTCACATTGAAAAATAAAACATTCTCTAATAAAAGCAGTTCCATGCCCAAGGACCTGAATTCGAGACCTCTTGAAAAAGAAAGAAATATTTATCACTCTAGCATGAGCCTGTCCAGCAAATATAGCTTTAATATAAAGTAAAGTATCTTAATTATGGAAAATGATGTGGCTATAAAGCAGGTGGGAAATTAAAGAAGAGGAGGCTACTTGTGGGGCTAAAAGACCTATGCCAATATGAATGAAAGGTCTATTATCATTTGCTATAAATGCAAGATTTTTGTAAAAAATTAATAATCATCCAGTTGTTATAAGAAGATACAAGAACTAGTCTCGATTGAGTTGGTTATTTTGCACCACATTTCCACATAATTGCCTATAAACAGTTTGATAAAAGGTAACACTTAAAAAGAGTGTGAAACAACAAAAAAAAAAATAGCTGTCAGTCGAGTGATAACACCTATCCTTCAAACCGCTCAACCAAAACTTGTGTAAATAGACTTTAAAATAGATCATATACAAATATGGTACAGCGAATAAAGTTTTTCTTTCGGAAATTTTGATTTGAGCCCTGAAAACACTTTTGTAAACGAGCGCTACGTAGAAATACCAAACAAACAAATGTATCTCGTAATTAAAAAAATAAAATAGTGTTGCTGATTATATACAATAAATGCTTAGGTATGAAAATGATAGAAAGCGTTTCCGCCGAACGAGCCCTAAAAGATATCATTCGTAATCCAAAAGATAAAATAGTGTTGCTGATGGTATACATACAATAAATGCTTAGGTGTCCAAGAAGTAGCTCTTAGTCATCTATCAAATTAATGAGGGACGCAAGTGGGTGAACCCCCAAAGTCTGTTACCAAATATGGTAAAACAATCAAGTCCTCTACGCAACACTTCACTTATATATTATTATTATTATTTGCAGAAGTGAACACTGTACTTGTGATTTTATACGTAGGTATTGTGTTTGATGTACATACCTCACTTTCTTTTTGGCTAAATTGGCCTTTCTTTTTGTCTTATTTGTGCGCATATCACTTGCTATTTCCAACCTGCAAAGCTAAGTCAATGAGAAGCCATCACCTTAAATGGTTGTTTGGTTAGGACCAAGGATATCCTTAGATTATAATCTCTATCCTAGTTTAATTACTATCAATGATCAAGCACAGATGCTTAGTCTGAATAATAAAGGAATAGATTTTCTAGTCTTAGTTAAATTACGCTCTGCACTATTAATAGTAGAGGCGTTGCTAGCTCTTTTCTAGTGAAAAATATTTGAGTTTATGAATAAAATATTTTTCAAACATGATTTTCGCTCATTGCATTGACGGCAAGACCACCCTCCTTGGTGCAAGTCTTTCTTTTTCTCACCACTTTTCTCAAGTTAATTAATTCATATCTAGATTTCAACTCATCAGTCAGTCAAATACACCTATCACGGTCAATTGGCTTTACTTATTTCTTTCAAAGATTTGATTTTTCTCACTTCCTCCATCTTCCTCTTATATATTTTCTTTCTTCAACTAGGCTGAAAATTCCACAAACAAGAGGAAAATTAGCTATTCTTGATAGTGGGGTAGAAGCTTCTGCTTTCCGTTGCTATTTCTCACACTATTTATAGGTGCAAGGAAGACTCTGATGGAGGGGAAAGCAGAGGTAGTAACAATGAAGCCAAATACTGATGAGCTTCTTTCTAAACAAATAATGAAGCAGGATGCAGCAGCAACAGAAAAAGAAGAAATTCAAATGCGATGTGACGACGTAATGAAGCCAAATAATGATAAACTTCTCTCTAAACAAAGAATGAAGCAGGAAGCAGTAGCAACAGAAAAAGAAGGAATTCAAATGCAATGCGACGACACAATTACAGATCAAGAGATGAATAAAATTGAACTAATGAGGGCTCTTGTTGAAAAACAAGATCCTTCTTCCAAGGTATTATACGATTTTCTGCAGCCTTGCAGCATTTCTCTCCCTTTCTAACTATAAAAAGCAATATTTTTTAATCAAAGTAGAATAATTTCCATGTACCTTGTTTGCAGGAAATAGACGACTATGCCTTGAGAAGGTTTCTTCGAGCTCGTGATCTAGACATAGAGAAATCTGCAGCAATGTTCTTGAAATACCTTAAGTGGAGACAAAGTTTTGTACCAAAAGGGTCCATTTTGGTGAGTGAGATACCAAACGAGATTGCACAGAACAAGATGTTCATGCAAGGTGTAGACAAACAGGGTTGTCCTATTGCTGTAGTTTTTGGTGGCAGGCATATTCAAAACAAATTAGGAGGTGTTGAAGAGTTCAAACGTATGACTTCCTTTTTTCCTTTTCACCACCTAATTTCACATAGCCTACTGCATCACGGTCAGTGAAACTGGCTTTGGAATCAGTCAATTTCTCACATCCAAGTCTTTCTTTGATTCCTCAGGTTTTATAGTCTTTGCTCTGGACAAATTGTGTGCAAGGTACAACATTTAGAATAATAGTAGCAGCTTTATTCCTCTCCTTTTTAACTTTCTCAAAATAAGCTGAAAACATGAGCAACAAACTCCACCATGGACAGAAAACCTGTTTTTAATTTAAAAAAAAATAAAATTATTTTGAGTATTGAAATGTAACTAAAAAGGGCAGAATAAATATAGAGGATAAAAACAGCTCATCATTTGGACGACAAATTATGGAGTTTTACTTATGAAACAGGACCTCACCAGGAAGAGAGAAGTTCACAATAATCGGAGATCTCCAAAATTTTGGCTATTGTAACAGTGATGTTCGTGCCTATCTTGCGGCCCTATCCATCGTGCAGGTTTAATCACCAATACTGTCTAGTCATTCATATAGAGGCTTACCCAACTTTTATCCATAATCTAAGAGACATCTATTTTGCAGGATTGCTACCCGGAAAGACTAGGCAAAGTACTTCTTGTTCATGTTCCTTACATATTTTGCACATTATGGAAGATTTTGTATCCTTTCATAGACAACCACACCAAGAAAAAGGTGAGGTTCTAAAATAATTGTGTTTCACATAAAAGATGGATGAATCAGTTCCGGAGTTCAGTCATACTTGCAGTTGATGTCGAGGATAACTTTGTGAGAAACTTGATTACAACTTCTATTACATCATCCTCACCAAACTATTTTCAATCTTCACAGATCATGTTTGTGGAAAACAAACGGCTGACAGCAACCTTACTTCAAGATATTGATGAAAGCCAGCTTCCGGAGACTTACGGAGGCAAAATGCAATTAGTTCCTATACAGGACGCCTAGGCAAGTAATTGCCCTACAAGCTTCAACTGTATCAAGTTGACAGTGCTTTATTTTTAATAGCTTTGAGGAAAAACATTAAATAGCAAATATACATCTATATCCATTACTAAACATTCAGCTTTTACATGGAGTAGAAAATAAATGACATATTTTCCACCTGATCTGCTAGTTTGATGTTCTTCTTGATGAATCCAGCTTCCATTGCTATCTATCATTTTGATATGACAAACTGGATGACGTTCAATCTTGATTCTGCAACAAGTGAAAAAGAGTTGTACAGATTTCAATCAAATCCGTTTTATATTTTGTAGCTCTTAAACATGTCATTGTTTCCTTTGCTTTTCTTTTGAAGCAAGATACAGACAGATACACTATTATATAACGAAATTTAGTAGATGAGTTGGTTTGAATATGTCCAAATCCAGCAATGCAGAACCACCTATTATTGGAGAGGCCTACAATGAAATCGCTGTATCATTTGAATGTGGACTTGCATTCTGGAAACAATATCTCTAATAAAAGATGAATATAATTCTACTTCTCACATACAATAAGCATGAATCAACTGATATGTGTATGTGTATGTATTTATATGGCTAAGTTCCAACTAAAGTGAAGCTTAAGAAGATTGAGACACCACTGCAGAAAAAGTTTACTTCACAATCCAAAATGTTGTAACTACCCTTGACACGTCAAAAACTATAGCTGCAAATTCAATTCAACAGTTACTTGAATGTGTCCTTTCTCTAAAAAGTAATCTTTTTCATATAACTACTGAATGTTTTCTCTGGAGCAACAAAAGCCACTATCCTACCTTGTCCAAGTAACTCATACGGTCAAAACTACTGCACTACCTGCACTGAAGCTACTGCTACTATCTAAATTATATGAACTACTGGTCACTTGAGGCCATTGCTTCCTTTTTTCGGTGACCAACTCAAGTCTGCTGTTTTCTTGAGGAAATCTGTACTTTTTTTCGCATTAGTTTGTCCAAGTAGCCAATCTAATCCAGTTTCCATACAAGGAGAAAGACTCAAACAGTTGAAAAAAAGTTACTCATAAAAGATTCAAACAATTATACAACAACAGGATATTCAGGAAAGAGAGAGTTTCATACCTCAAAGACCAGTAAATAAACTTAAGAACTCGCCTGGATGTAATATTCAGCGAGTTCTTCCACAGACAGGGATATCTTATCTCAAAACTTGGAGCTGCAGCATATGGAAATATACCATTTGACACTGATTGTAACCAGATGCACTTTACTCAACTATACAATGCTAGAAACAGGCAAGATAAGAGCCACAAAAATCTTTGAGACATCCGCTATAACATGTCTTGAAAACCATTATATGATATCTACTTAAGCTTCAATTACCAAACACAATTGGAACTTCAAAGAAATGCTACCAGTAATCCCCACAACTACAATAACCATCTGCAAAGTGATGAAAGCGGATCCTGTCCCTCACAATGATCTCCCTATTCAACAGCTTTGCTACCATTTTCATCCAAGAATGGCAATCTGGACAAGTACGAAGATTTTTCGAAACTTGAATATGAGTGCCAGGACTAGATTTTAAGATCCCATAGGCTAATGCCAATTTTTCACTGTGGTAGCTCAAGTTTTCCTCCTTTTCCTCATCAGAAATATCCATCAAAACCAACTCAGTCGTGGAACTAAATCCTTCCAATTTGGTTTGATGAATTAATTTCTTCAAAGTTTTATATATTAGTTCAGCTTCAGGGTGTGACCGGTCACCTGCCTTGAACTGGTGAACGACATTACCCACTTCAACCCAACTTTTCCCACTATTTTTACGAACTCCTTTCCATTTCATCAGACATCTAACTTTCTCTGCATTATCCCATTTCTTAGTAGAACAATAAATGTTTGACAGTAAGACATAATCACCGCTGCCAAGATGAGATATTTTTGTGCTAGCAACTTCCCCCATCTCAGAATTTTTGTGAATTCTACAAGCACTGAGAAATGTCCTCCACATAATTGCATCAGGCTCTATTGGCATTTCCTTGATTACTGTATAAGCTTCATCAAGCAGTCCAGCTCTGCCTAGTAGATCAACCATTGTTCCATAATGCTCAAGTTGTGGTTGAATCAAATATAGACTTTTCATTAGTTGAAAATACTTTTGACCCTCTTCAACCAAGCCACAGTGACTACATGCTGTTAGAAGTCCAATGAAAGTAATACTATCAGGTGAAACATTTTCTGGCTCCATCAGTGAGAAAATCTCAATTGCATCTAAAGCAAGACCATGGATTCCTAATCCATTAATCATAGCATTCCAGACAGAGACATTTGTACGCTCAACACTATCAAATATTCCTCTAGCTATCTCAATTCTTCCACATTTTGAGTACATATCAATCAAAGCAGAAGAAAGAATGTAATTTAGTTCAATCCTTCTCTCAGTCATTAAGTGATGTACCCACTTAGCGTGATCAATGGCTCCAAGTCTAGCACATGCTGTAATGATAGATGCAAAAGTATATCCATCTGGTTCAACATTAGACCTCAACATCTTTCTGAAGACACTGAGTGCCTCCTTACACAAGTCATTTTTGACATAACCTCCAATTAGTGAGTTCCAAGTAACCAAATCCCGGAGTGGAACTTCATTAAATATCATCTTGGCAACATCAACTGTCCCCATCTTCATAAATCTAGAAATCATTAAATTAGCAGAGACAGCATCAAAATACTCAGTAGGAATTTCAACAAGCAGCTGACGAGCAAGATTGAGTCTATCGCAAGATGCATATGTCACTACCATCAAAGAAATAAGAGAAGGATACACTCCATAACCAAGTTTAATAATATTAGCATGTGCACCAGCTGTAGTTCTCAAATTTGGTGACATCTTACATGCTTCAAGAATGCATAATAGTCTGTGATAATCTGCAAGATATCATGAAATAAAAAAGTAACCTTTAAGCATAAAGTTTTGATTTTAGAACAGAAATAGCCAGTTACCAAAAGGAAGGAAACAAAAGATATTTTTTTCTATTTACATTTTAGAATCAAGCTAGTAAAAAGGGAAGAAAGATGACTCTGAATTATCTATTTGTTTTCATAACATTATTCATATAAATTAAGATGCATACAACAACATACACGGTATAGTCTAACAAAGCGGAGTCTCCAGAGGGAAAACCTTACCCCTAACTTAGCGGTCCAAAGCAATCGAAGAAACACGCAAAGAAGCAATTTTGCTAGTGATTAGACTATTAAAAAGTTAGTAAAAATATATAAGAAAGTTATTCAACCTTGTGAATAATGAGATTCTGTTGGAGATAATGAGAGGTGTAGCCCTGTGCTTAAAGTAGCGCTGAGATTCTGAAGCCACGGAGAAAATAAGGAAGAAGAAGAGTAATAGCAATAAAGTCTCCTCCGACTGCCGGCAATCCTGAACATCCTTTCAGCCTTTAAATTCCCTTCTATTTCATTCGCACAAGTTCATTTTAGTACTGCAATTTCTCCATTGAAGAGAATTTCAAGATTGCCACTACTGGTGTTGCATCTCCATTCCCGGAGACCATGATTGGGCCGGAGAGTCTGAAAGAGGCCCATGCTTATTTTCGGGATTCTAAAGGATCATTTGCACTTTTATCCCTCTTATGTGTTGGTGCAAAAGCTATTTTACGCTATTTCATTTTCATATTTTGAAGGTGAAATAGTCCGGTATACTCTTATTGTTATTGTATTTGTATTGTATTATTACTATATTTATAATGTTTGGTTTAATTGTTATTCAAAATGTATTATATTGTATTGTTAAATTTCATTGTTAGGTAATAATAAAGAATTTTATTTTATGGAATAATTAATTTGGTGTGTTCTCTTACTTAATTTCTTTCTTGAATTATATCTTTATATAATATATCAAAATACAAAATGTACCCTTTACTTTAATTATTTAAATGTAGTCAAACCTCTTACCTAGAATAATTAAGGATATTTTAATAAAATTATAAATTACAATAAAGTTCGATACAATCAAACCAAATAATTAAATGTTATTAAACAACAACAAACAGTACAGTTAGCCAAATATTGTATCTACCATACAATACAATACATTATGAAACAGCGGGTAACAATGATCCAAACAAAGTGTTATACTTGTATCAATTTGTATTCTGAACTTCTATTTACCTCTTTGTTATCTGGATTCATTTAATAAAACACAATTTATCAAATCTCTCTGACCATCGATCTCTTTTAAGATGATTGAATTGACGGAAGTGTGTGATTTTACACACCTTGAAGCGAGTGAGTACATATTTTTGTTTTAAAATAAAATAAAATAAAGTCTCCATCTTGTTCACCCATTTTTTTAATTATTATTGAAACAATGTATTATTGATTGGTATGAAAAGCTCAATTAATGTATAAATTTGAGTTCAGTCAAACATCATAACCAGATTACAGAAGCAGAATAGTGTATTGGACAACAAAGTCGAATCAATAGCTTTGCATTTGCTATTTTCCAGATCTGTACGCTTCAAAATCACGCATAGGTACCAACAAAAGAGTGTAATTCACCATCACCGACATCATCCTCTTCCAGAAACAAACCCTCTGTAAAAGTTGCATGCAAAAATATCAACACAATCCATACAACAATTGACACCAACACATTCAACCAAACATGAATACAATCATCCCTTAGTTGACTCGAAAGTAGCTGAGATTTCGGTTGAACCTATATGCGAAATCGCTGACAGAAATAGGTATAGGAAGACGAATGGATCTATAACTCTCTCCATGGACGACGAGGAGCATACGAGGTTAGTGTACCGGATCTAACCCGACTGAAAGAGGCTTCTTCACCCATCTTAACCTTCATTTTCAACCATCTTCATGCCTGACTCCTTCTTTTCTTTCTATACTTTTGTTATTGTCTTTAAGAGATCTTGGCATTAACCCCCTTGAGTCCATTGATTCGCCCGCAGAAGGAGAAGTCAACGGTGGCGGTGCTCGTCGGCCAGATCGAGGTACGGCAGCGGGTTATGTTGATCGTTTTGTGATGGTTGAAGGAGAAGGAAAGCTTCTCGAGTGCCATGTGCTATATACATCCTTCATCTTCTTCATTATTTTACTGATGAAGATCACCCAGAAATAAAGGAGAGAAAGAAATACAGGGGAAAGTCATAACGACAAAGCTACAAAAGTGAAACCACATAATCAAACCTTTACATGCGATAACAATTGTACAAAAAAATAAAGGAAATAACCCAAATTTGAAAATTCAACCATCTAGTGAAATACTTTTTTTAGCTGTTTTAAGTTGGGAACGAGGGAGAAGATGGAGTTTCAATATTTTATTTTAAGAAATAAATATAAATTTAAATGTTTTTATTTTTATTAAATATTATTTAAAAAATAGTTGATAAAGATATTATGACATGTCATTGATGTAAGTGATATGAATTTGACATGTCATCATTTTAAGGAGAGTGAACTACACATGATAAAATGGATTTAAAAACCTTATTTTTGATTGAATTTAAGGGTCCAAATGATAAGCTAAGTAGAAAGATCCAGAATACAAATCGATACAAGGTACAAGAGTCCACCAGATCATTTTGCCTATTTTGAATCATAATGTATAAATTAAGAAAAAATGACAGAAATTTCATCTTTAAGTTATCTTATTATCATTATTCCCTATTAGTTTTACAGATCCCCAAAATTCCTCATTTTCACGCAATAGAATAATGTATCAGTACATCAAATTAATGTATCTCGCGCATCAGATTAGTGTATCATGTATAAAATGTACATCAGATTAATGTATCATGTATAAAATGTAATGTATCTTACTTAACAGGTAATGTATCTCGCGCATCAAATTAATGTATCAACGATTATATTATTGTATTAGTTTGAAGAATTTCTATAATTATAAACTAATAAGGGACAAATGATAATTTTACCATAAAAGTATGTAATTTTGATCCTTTGACCATAAATTAATTGAGCATACGAAAAGTAATTTTTTTTTTTTTTTTTGTATCTTTTGATTTGTCAAAATAGACTACTTAAAAAAAGGTCCAAATAGGCTACCGGGTTCAATTGCTTCACGTTAGAGAAATGGGCCCTATTTATTGAGAGCTATTGGGCTTCATGGAATACTTCTTGGCCCATCAATAAATAGATAACCAAACGGCTTCAACTCCGAAATCTAAAAGAGGCTGGCTTATTTCACAAGTCACCAGTTTGTGTAAAAAGGCTTTTTTTTTTCCTTCTCCTTCCAGAGCTCAAAGTGATTCTTCTTTCTTCGTGTGCATCCCAACCTTCTCCGGCTACCCTAAAGTCACCGTTGCCTGAACGCAGGTTTAGTTTTAATTCTCTCGTTACTGTAATTTTCTTATCTCCTGCAACAAGTTTGAATTTCACACTATGCAAATTGGTGTACCGATTCATTCTGATTCCTGTTATGTAATGTTTTTTAACTGCTGCAACTCTTTATTTAGCTGTATGTTGGTAAAAATCCCATATTTTAGGTAGGAAACGAAGTTGCTACCGTGAAGTATTCAACGATTATTTGGCAACCATAGTAATTTAGCTGCCTGCCAGTAGGTAGTTCTAGTTTTATTCTGAAAAAGGGAGTAGGTATCTCTATTCTGGTAAGCTATTTTTATGTTGCTTTTTGTTTTGTTCATTTTTGTATTTGTGTTATTAGTTTTTTAAAAAAATTTAAGGAAGACAAAAATTGCATGTTTGGTACCTAGTTTTAGGGAACGTGCGTGGGCTTAATACCTAATTTTAACATTTACATCTGGTTGTAATGTTGAAAGCTTTCGAAGGGAGAAATTCATGCCTTTTGAGGATGTTAGTTTTTTTAGGTTTAAAGCCTGTTTTTGCCCGTTTTATTGTGAATACAACTCATCAATTGGCATCAAATTTTTTGTATGTTATAATAAGAAAAGAAGAGGTACAGACGTTAGAAAACTACGTTGCCAAGAATGTGGTGATTTTGCCTAGTGAGAACTGTTTCCAGCAGGTTATTCTAGTTTTCTTTCTCAGTGGACAATAGCAAAATAGTTTCTTTTATTATTTTCAAATAGTACAATCGTATATGTACAGTGAAACAATGAAAGTAGTAGCAGCGTGTATTTCATATTTCATGCTTTTAACCTCTTTAAATGTAGATATAAACTGATTTTCCTGTTTGCATACTATATTTTGTTTTTACACTGATTTATTCAAAGATGCTTGGTCTTATTGTAGGTTATTCAAATTTTGTTAGAGTGCTGCTACAACAGTTTGGATACTTATATTTCTGATTTCCGTAATGGTAAGTACAATATCAAACTTCCCTCCAATATTCTCCTTCAGATTATCGTGTCTAACTTGCCCTATCTATTTTCTAACCACTTGTTTGAATTCTATTAATAGTTTGTTTAAAATTTCCTACGTGAAGTGAGTTTTTCTTTTGGGGAATCTTGAAGCTGATTGTCTGACTTGATTCATTTTTCTTTCTTTCTCGATTTGGATGGAATCTGGAAATTTAGTAAAAATAGAAACATCAAAAAATGCATGTGGTGGAAGTTGCTACATATTATTTTATTTTATTGGGTGGTGGTGGAGGAGATAGAAGACTCTTGGCTTTATGGTGCGGTTGGTACCAGACGACTTCACACAATCTTTACTTATGTTTCTTGAAACAGAAAGGAAGAAGGACAAACATTAGAAATCATATTGAAGCTCAGCTCAGCTCAGTGTTCTCGACATATAATTAGTAGCAAATAAAAACGGAATGGTTGGATGACTAAGCATGTCACTTCACATTTTAAGATACTGAAATTGATTGTAAGAAAATAATTGAGATGAAGATTGAAGAGGTGAAAGAGATACACCTATATATGATGAAGGAGACTGTAGGTTTCTTTGATTTGTAAAGAGGTTTTGCATTTGCCTTAACATTCTATATTTTTGTAGTATTACCACCACCAAGTATGCCTTAGTCCATTGTTAGTAAGTCAGGGATAAAGTCCTCATGGATAAGCGTTTGCCATTTAAAATCATCTCAGGCTAACATTTTGTCAGTATTAGCAAATTCCCTGTTAACTTTAGGAAATCCCAACCTTAATTTACAACTTATGTAAACAAGTCATGGTTTCTAGTGGACATGTTTAACCTAAGCCCAAAACTTCTTTACTATGTATATTGGTTGCATTGTTTTTTGCCTATAACATTGATAAATTCTACCCTGAACGCAATGTGCTCATGCTGGTAAGAGGAGTTAGAACACGTATAGTGATGGTGAAATAAGTTTAGGGTGCTGGACTCTTGACTTGATTTGGTGCTTAAATTGAGTGTTGCTGACATGATTTGAGGCTGTCAGCAAATTTGCTGATAATACTCAGCCAAATGTTTGTAGCATTTTCTTTTGGCATGAAATGATGTGTTATTCTGGCTCAGAGTGTTGATGCCAATCTTCCATCAAGGAGGAGATCTTGATTCAGTTTGCTAATGCATGAGTTCTTCTGAGTTCTGAATACCAAAATAGGAACTCTGATTGTTCTTTGCCTTTTATTTTCATTTCATTTTCATCTTTCTGGTTTGTTGATTTATTTAGGTAAATGACATGATCAACCTCCCTTAACAGAATGAAATGAAAGGTTAATTGGATGGATTCGCCTGAGCTTTAGGTAGACAGGATTGTAGTGCGTACATGCAGAAAATTTAAATGTATAGACTTGGTCTTCCGGGATAGAAATGTAGCTTATAGAAATAAAATAAGATGATAAAAAGGAGTGAAATGATCCATGCCATGGGAAATACCCCACCAAAGTAAAAAGATAAGTATGAAGGATTTTGAGATGAGTACTGTCACATGGGAGCGATAAGATGAGTGTCATAAAAATTATGAATGTGTAGATGGATGTGTCGCCATACAAATATTTAGACAATACTATAAATGATCACTTCGGACGTAGGATGCGAGTAACACATGAATAATAGATAAGAAAATACTTTTTGATATGATTTGGCGATATCCTTTAAAGACTTCCAAATTCACTGGTCCATATGTATGATACTTTGCTGATTGCAAGTGTTCTTGAAACGTGAAGATAGACTAAAATCACGTTAAAGGGTGTAGTCTCAAAAGATCTATGATCTCTCAAATTTCATGTATTTAGACACAATGAAAGTAAAAGATCATTTTAAGCAATAGAGCAATACCAACTAAATGGGATTAAGGTTTAGAGGTTGTTGGTACCTCTGCATTAAGTTAGATGTTTGTTAGGATTGTTTTTAGTTTGATAAGCAATTGGTTTGTCACTGTATGGGTAGGTGTGAGAAACAGAGAAAATTCGTTTTAGAGAATTCCTTATTTATCTTAAAGACAAATTAGTGAGTGTTGGAATGATATAAGCATAAGCAGAGCAGAATGGATATAGAGGATTTATATAAGCCTAATATAGCTGAGTTTTCCTAGTTTGGAGTTTTTGTGTAGTAATTGTTGTATGAACTCACTCTATGTTATCACTTATCAGTATATTGCGAGCCTACAGACACTGAAAAATATACATCGAAGTAACATATATTAAATTTCATTTCCATCCTATCAGCACCCCCTCCTCCAAGGCTCTAAGAGAACGGAGATTGACCCTAGATTAGAGAAAAAGATATGCTGAATGTAGACTTGAGGCAGAATCTTCTTGAGGTGAAGCAATTATGACCATTTCTTGATAAAAGAAAATTAGTATCATATTTCAATAGAAGATGCATGCATTTGAATGGTTCATGTTTTTAAACATAAATAAGCATGCCTTTAATTATATTTTTTTAACTAAACGTATAACATCTATGTTCTATAAGCATATCATGTAAATGGAATTCTAAAAGATAGCCTCAACTGCTTTTCCAAGCTCCATTTTAGCCTGCAAAATCTTCCAGAATGTGACACTGGTTTCAACTTCGTGTCTCTTTTTTTTAAAAAATAATCCCGGTGTTTGGGCTAGCTCGCACACAACTCGACAAATTCGCGGGTTACCTGTCCCCACCTCCCACCAACAGCATGGACCAGGTAACTTTGTCTATCAAGGCAAGAACGGATGAGAAGATATCACCTAATGATTTGTCTCTGGGAATTGAACCTCGTACCTCATGTTGCTCAACCCCTTTCATTGACAACTAGGCCACACCCTTGGGTGCTTCGACTTCTAGTCTTTCTTTGTATAAGGAAATGGGAAGCCCTCAGAAATTAGTCTGTAGTCTAGAAGCAGCTATAGATTTTTCATACACGTCTCTATTCTTGGTTGGCTAATATAATATTAGAAGTATCTATTTTACACAAAGGGTGCTTGTTACTTAACCCCTCTCATTACTTTCTCATTGCAGGCTGCGAGAATCCTTGCAAACATAATTATTTTGGGTTCTGGAATAATGGCAAGGGCCTTTGCCCAGGCATATCGCCAAGCTCTCACAAGTAAGTTTTTGTTGACGTACACCCTTGTAATCCTTTCCTTCCATAAGAAAACTTGGAATTTTAACTACTGGAGGTGTTTTTTTTCTTTGTTTGGGGGGAGGGGAAAATAAAAATTTGCAGTTTTCTGTGGCACTTGCTTTTGAAATAAAAACACGATTTTTCCTGAGGAGAAGTGTAATTGTGAATTTTGGCCAGATAATGTTGCACAAAACCATTTTGATTCCTGCAAGTTACAGTTCTCCTAGATAGGAAAACAACAGTTCTTGAAGTAACAATGTCCCTAGATTTCAAAACAAAATATATAGTATGTGATAGGTTAATACCCCATTTGTTGATGCACTTGAAGCTTTATCTGCGTACTCCTTGCAACCTTGCTTGGGTTGATAATCAAGTTGTGCTTTGTTAATTGTAGATGCATCAAAAAATGGTGTTGCTCAAGAAGCAGTACAAAACATTAGAAGAGCAAGCAAAACTATGACAGAGGTGGAGGCTAGGCAAGTCCTTGGGGTTGCAGAGCATTCATCATGGGAAGACGTGTTGCAGGTTTGTCTTAGGTGTTTTTATGTGTGATCGTTTTCCCTATGGGGTTTAATGCATTGAATTGACACTTGAAAGTTGTTAATTCGTTTCTTCATCATTTCTTGCAGAAATATGACAACTTGTTTGAGAGTAATGCTAAAAATGGAAGTTTTTATCTACAATCAAAAGTTCATAGAGCGAAGGAATGCTTAGAATCTCTTTACCGAAGTAAAGCAGAGGGCCCAAATTAGTTCTTTGAAGTTCCTGCAGCATTGCAGCTAGAGACATTCTGGGCTCTTGTAAGGAGTATCTTCAGTAGAGGGTAATTGCTTTCTACCATCAGATGGTCTCCTGCAATGTTACATACATATTCGATCCTCAATTTTGGCCCGTTGGAGAGAAGCACTTAAATTAATCATTCGTGTAGTTTGCATCACTCCGCCTTTTCTGTCATTTTGCTTAGTAGCACGCTTCATTATTATTTCATGCTTTTGTATGGTTACCACATAACTTGATGGAAGAGGGGCGTGAAATTGAAAAATTTGGAATGCAATATCTTAGGTCTTACAAAATGAAATAAATTGTGTGTAATTTGGCTGTCATGTATGATTTCTTCAGGCTGGGATATACTCCACAGGAATAAACTTTTAGAACTTCATAACTCATCCATTTTACCTTGTTTATTGTAGTTTGACTTGGATAATGTCTAATAAAAAATGGAAAACCGATAAAAATTGTGGTCTTCAATGTTATAATAGTTGCATGAATATAAAATTCTGAAATTTATGATGGCTAAATATGATAAACATGTTACAGCATGTGTTTGACGACAAAAGCTTCCCTAAAGTGGAACGGAAGTAGTAGTTTTCGTGCACTGGTTGATGTCAATTCTGTCTAATACAAGTGCATTAGAATAAACTTCTGAGAAGGTCTTTAAAACTTAGTTTCCAATGCGTAAACTAAAAAATGAGAAATAAAGGAGTTTCTAGTAAGGTGGAGTTATTTGGTTCGAGTTCCTGATTCAAAGTTATCTTTGTTAGAGAGTGTTTTATCCACTTTTTATGTTATATGGTGCGAATCTAAATCCAAACGCTTTATCTCAGAATTTTTGGTGTGAATTCGAAATCAGGCTCCACATTGGAGTATTGGACTCCGAGGTGGAAAAAAAGTGCTTATTAGTTTTGTTAAGTAAAAGAGAGAATTTTGCATACAAATAAATAGTAAAAAAAAAGAAAAAAGACTTCTTAAACTTATTCTTTTTAACATTTCAAAAACTCCAAAAAGTTGGGGCCTGCTTTGACTTTGCAAGTTTTTTTGTTTGACTTGGCTGATTGTGGGTAAAACCAGAAAGTTTGACAAGTGAGGAACTGGGCGCCGGAATAATAATAGATATTTGGCGTGTGGACCCATTTATCACATCTTCTTTATTTTCCCATACATGGATTTTGGATTTACAATAACCTTCGTAAGCGGAGTTTAAAGAGAACAGATGGAGAGTATTTTCGATAAATTTAACTCAAGATATATAATCTAAAATTTGAAGTCTTAAAATGTCAATTTTATGAATGTTAAAAGTATTTATTTACGCGAAATATATTAACATGAATATGAATACGCCTGAGTAACGTTTGGTTATTTATCCCAAAAAAAAAAAAACATTGAGATATTTCTTATAACATTAATCGGGTGAGTTAATATTATTTGCAATACGGAAATACAAGCCATTACAATTGAAACACACAAAGCGAATAGAAAAACAAAATATCAAAGAGTCAATTTTAAACAAAAAAAAAAAGAGAAAGTCAACGATTCATGAAGGGTCAACCCTAATCTTAAGTACGTGTGTTTGTCCTGTTGAGAATGTATGATGGCTTTATAACTTCCAAGTTGAGTCAGGGGAGAGGAATCTCAATTTTTAGAGGTTCAAAAAATATACGTAAAATATAATTATCTGAAGAAGCTAAAAGAGATTCAACACTAATATATATACATAAAAATAATTTAAATCGTACGTAAAGAGTATAATTCTCTAAGCTCCTCGTTGGCCCTACCTACCTCGCTCCTGGCATCACTTGTTTGTATTTTGCATGTTGACATCGTCAATAAAAGCTGAATTTAGCATAATTCTTTTCACATTTGCTTTTTTTTTTTTTTCTTTTTATATATAGCAAATGCAGAACTTGGAAATTTTAATAGCCAAATGTATAAATAAATCAATGTAATAATAAGCAGGCAATAGCACACCGCCATATATACTCGTGAGCAGCAAAGCTAGAGTACTTCAAGTTACCGGTAGAACTGGAGTTACGATGTTAATTGAGTTCGACTGAATTCATAGCCCCGGACTTACAGGTTTGACAAAAATTCAATAGCTTTGACTAAATTTTTTTATTTTTATTATGAAAAAACAGTTTATTTGAATTTAAATTCGTATAAATAGATTTTAGAAACATGTATATATGTGTGACATAAAAGTGAGTTTTCGAAAAAAGCTGTGAGTTCCCTAAAAGATATTCTCAGAAAAACCTGCAAGTATTATACATATATAGTTATAAAAGAAAACCTTTGGTCCGCATGAGTGGACGGTCCTACGAACAAGAATTTCCATTTAAATTTATTTATTTTTTATATTAGCCTTTCCTTTTCATGAAAAGTCGGGATTTTTATGAAGAGTTGCGACTTTTATGTTGAGCTGTGACTTTTATGTGAAGTAGAGACTTTTATAAAGAGTTGCGACTTTAATGAAAAGTTGCGATTTTTGGGAAAACTTGTGATTTTAAAGAAGAGTTGCAACTTTTATGAAAAGTTGTAACTTTTATGAAAGATTGTGAGAGTTGAAACTTTTTCAAATAGTTGTAACCTTTCCGACAAGGCACAATAAACATTTGTGCATGCCACCCTTTGTTGTCTATAAATAGAGGGATTTCCTCTCATTTTAAAACAACGAAAATTATAAACCTTTCTTCTTCTTTTCTTCTTCACAACTAAATATTTGTGTACTTGGTTCCTGTTGAGTGGCTCACTGACATCATTGTTTATGTTACAGATTTTGGTATGTAATTTTACGGTCATTAATTTCTAATTATGTTATTAAGGATAAATGATAAGATAATATTTTTATTTATTTTTTTAATGATAAATGATAAGATAAGTTACTTTTATCGACTGAATATTTGTGTTCTTGGTTCGTATTGAGTAACTCATTGACACCGTTGCTTATGTTGCAGATCTTGGTATGTATTTTTAAAGTCATTAATTTATACTTATGTTATTAAGGATAAATGACAAGATAAGTTATCCTTATCTAAAAAAAGATGATAAGATGTAATAAGTTTCATTTTTCTTTATGTCATTAATATTTGTTATAGCGTAATTTTTGTATATAAGATAATATAGTGTTTTAATTTTAATGACTGATAAATTTAAATTATTATTTTATAAATTTTATAATATTAAATTCTCGCGCAAAGCGCGAATAAATTTACTAGTATATATATATATATATATATATATATCCTTAAGTCTTTGTCATTAATTTCGTTTTGTCAGTTTATCTATTTCTCTAATGCAAATGGAATATTTTGTTGACAAATTAAAGCAAAACTATATATTACGTGCACTGTTGTTAAACAAAAAGGAAAGAACTGTCGCTTTTCACTCAATAAGTATTGTTAAAATTTACTTTCCATGGTTAATAGTAGAACATTTATTTTCTCTTTTAATCTAGAAATATTTTGGAATATTTGTTTACTTTCTAAGTCTAGAATTTTTATTAATTACATAATACAATTAACTTTATTTTAGTTTAGTATCTTGTTATTTTCCTTTATTATTCTCATTTGTACCCTATAAATAGTGATCTAGTCTTTTATTTTTATTGCAAGAATATAATAAATCAATGCAATAAATCTATTATCTCTTCGATTTTCTCATCTATAGATTAGAAGCTGATGATGTGTCACACAAAGACCAAACTCAGCAAGAATATAATTTATACCATAAAATACATATGATTTTTTAGAACATTATGTACTATTGTGTGTATGATCACAAGGAATCAAGTTATGGTTTCGAATAATGGAGATGATATGTACAGTACTCTAGTAGTTTATGCAATTATACTTTTAAATTTATATACTACTTTTGTAAATATTTCTTATGCTATTTATAGTATAAAGTAGGGGTAAATGTCAAATCTCCTTCACTACGAGAGATGAAAGACTAGGTGAATGACTTAATTTTGTTATAAAATGTATATAGTATATAGTGTCGATAAAATGAGTTCATATTTTGGTAATTTAATGGTTTGGGTGAGTAATTTTTTATGAGTAAAATATGGATTAATAATCATTTTCAACAAATAAAAAATGTGTAAATATGGGTAAATTATGGATAAAATATTGGTAAACTATGAATTAGTCAAATGGGTTAACTTCTAACTTTTATTCGCTAAAAAATTATGATATCACTATAAATATTGTAATATCTCTTGCTTTTTATGTTCTTCTATAGAACTAATTATTTTTTACTATAATGAAAAGGTGAAGTCTTTGGCCCTCCAAAAGTATATATTTTAAATGTACATTTCTTTTGTTATACTTATAATTATATTTTTTATTTGTTTAATTTTATAATTGGATGATAAATAATAGTGTAAATTAAGCAAATCATGTATTAATCTTGACATTGCTTAAAGTTCATTAAGCATGTTTTAGTCCTAAAATGCAAACATTCACTTACTTTGAAAGTAAAAATATTTTCCCCTTGTTATTGGATTTTTTAAAAAACTTTTATGATACAATAAAACTAAATAAAGCATTTTCAACATTTTACATCTAAAAGAAGACAAAAATTTTCTCCATCTTGAATTCTTAATTAGAGTATTGTTTGCTCATGAAAATACAGGTAAACTAGTATTTTACTCAACTCATTTCTTATTCAATCTATTTTTATCCATATGGACGGATTGAATTATTACCAATTTTATGTTGACCCATTTCAACCCATTCAAATTTAACCCAACCCACTCATTCGCCACCGCTAGTACTATATACAACTACATTATTATGCAATATTAACTTTAATAAAGTGATATACACTTCCATAAAGCTATCAATGTTAGAATCCTTATGATCCTATCAAAACCTAGGAGTTAAGAACATATAACCACATGATATTAATTTATTTTCATAGTACATAACTATATATATATATATATATATATATATAGTTCATGTTCTACTGAATTTATCAACTAAATCAATGAAGTATTAATGCTTAACTAATTGCATGACAAAAGAAGGAAACTGAAAGCACTTCTAGGGCCAAAAACTTATTAATGTGACATTATATCCTCAAGAAATTGTATACCTTCATTTTGGTTGAAAAAAATAATTATTTTTGATCTTCAAACTCCCCCAAAGTTGGTCCTGAGCTTGAATAAGTGCCAAAATAAGATGAAAATTTCAGATTGTTTTCATCTTCTTGCTGGTGATTAATATACCTTGGTTCTTCTTGTACCTGATGAGACGATGCTTGTTGTACCAAATATGTCATCGATGATGATTTCGAAGGTTCCACTAAATCGAGTGCTTTAGGATTGAACCCTGCTATATGCGTGTGAAAAACAAATATAAATAGGAATTAACTAGAGTTAGATCGATATTATTGAATACAAAATTAAGTAAATAAAAGTATCTACTCTTTAGATTACACGTCAAACCCATTGCTAAAAAGAATTTTTTCATGCTCGACCTATGAAAAATGAATTAGGCTTAGAGCATCCATTTGTGTTTGGGCAAAAATTTCAAATTCTGTTACTGCGTACTCAAATCTCTACCTGTAGGGTGATAAAAACTCGGCGAGACGCCAAATTTCAAATCATCAGCATTATGATTACTGTAGTGATGTTGTTGTAATTGATCAGAATTTGGGAGAAAATTAGTGGGCTGAAATTGATGTTGTTGATGATTCGTATTAGTAATTAGGTATGATATCCCAAATTGATCCGTTGTGGATTGAACCCGTTCTGGAAAGTTGAGTTTAGCTTTGTTTCCTTTAAATTTAAGTGCAGCTTCATCATATGCAATTGCAGCATCTTCCGCAGTGTGAAAAGTACCCAACCATACACGAGCAGCTTTTTCCGGGTCACGGATTTCGGCCGCCCATTTACCCCATGGTCTTTGCCTCACACCTCTGTACTGTCTTCTTCTCTTCTCATTATTCCCTTCACACAGTAAAGACAAAAAAAAAAAGTTCAAAATAAACAATCAACTTCAGAAAAATAAAACCCTAGATGATAAAATTTGATTATGAGTACCTTGTTGTTGATTGAGCTGAGGTAATTGGTTTTGCATAGCTGCAGTAGTATTAGACTGATGATTTAGGGTTAATAATGGCTTATGATGTGCGGAGGAAGAAGAAGAAGAATTCGTGTTAGTAGTACTTTTGTTGCCAATAACTTGAGAGAGGACTGCAACCATAGTAGACATATCATGTTGAGATCGAGCTGATGAATACATGTGATTGTAATTTCTATCTTCTTTTTCCTCGGATTCATAGCGCCTCTTTCCACGTCTAATTCGGTCCATTTTTTAAAAAATTATATATGATTCATTTATATGTACGAATTTTTATTAACTTTGTGTATCACTAACTACGAAAAGGAAGAAACTGAAGAACGAAATGCTAGGTTTACAACTGATAGTATATATGTAGACTCAGTGGGGAAGTGATAATTAGAATATTTGTTGTTTTTGGTCATACTAATTGATTTGTCGTTAATTGATGATTTTTCAATGCTATTTTTTCAATGGAGTAAACTATAGTCGAAAATGGATGTCATAGTGTATATATACAAAATGTAATTAAAAAATGTCATTTTTAGGTGCCTTTTGATGGACAAAATCTTTGAGACCTATCAAGTTGAGACAGATCGACCAATACTTTTTACCCCAACCTACGATAGAGGATCAATAGTCTTTTTACTTAATCTTTAATCTATCGGTTAATGATTTGATAAAGATACTTAACTATTTGAATAAGCCTTACTTATCGAGATAGACTAATACAAACCCTCACTTGTCAAGACGGACCAAGGCATATTTGGTATCACGCGTGTGCATTGAAGGCATATTTGAGTATGCAAATTATATATGTATAATTTTTTCTATGTATCACGTTCTTCGTCTGTATTATAGTAAATTATGATATTTATATGATTATTTTAGAAAGAGTTAATTAAGTATCAAAAATATATCTTAACTACTTTGTTTTCAATTTCATATATAAATTATTAAGAACGTCAGAAACATAAATACACCTAAATTATTACCGATTAATTTAAGAAACATACATAATCCTGACCAAATGGCATTATCTAGCCTTGAAATTTTATCCATATGGAATTATCATTATTTTTGCTGACACATTTTTGTTCTTTTTTAAAAAATATATTTTTAATGGATTTTTAAAAAGTTAACAAATGTATTTCAATTTATATTTTCAGTTGGGATTGTTAAATGTGTTAGTTATTCGTTATCACTTTTTACCATGGTGGAATTGGTTTTTGCGTTGCAATTTATGACAACTTTTTTTAGAAAAGAGAGAGTACTAACACATCATCACATATTACATTAGGTGTGTTTCTCAAATTTATTAGTGATAGTTATATATGTATTTTTCAAACTTTTAATAATTTAGATGTAAAACTAAAAACAAAAGGATAATTTTAGATATATTTTATCCACTCTTTTAAAAATATATTTGATACATGGTTAGTCTCATGATATTTCAACTATATCTTGTACTAGCAAAACAATACATTTTCTTCTTTTTGGATTGGGAGATGCTCTGAATTTAGGGTAAAGAATGAAAATTTTGATTATAGTATTGTTAACCAGTGGTAGCTCATTATTGATGTTACAGGTCAAGTCAATACTTGTCTAACCAGACGAAAGAAGTCATATATGTGAAAAATTAGATAATACTTTAGAAAAGAAGAAAAAAAAGAAGTGGAAGACTTGGTCAGCAAATAGAATTACTTCAAATTTATTAATTTTTGTTCTATTATTGTCACAATCAACCCCAGTGGAACAGGACTTGATAATTGAAATTCACCTTCTTCTTTTTTTATCATGCTCTTCAAAATTTTACTGCTACAACCTATGACCATGAGTGTGCCTAGTTGGTAATTTTAACAAAGATATAGATGAGTATGATTAGAGTAACAAATTATGGAAGTAAGAGTTTTATCTTACATGGCAGTTGTCATAGTGATTGTTACTTAATTTGATAAATAAATTGAAGTTGGAAGTTTTTCATGAGTGTCTTTCAATAAATCCAGTCATAAACCTCTAGGAGGAAATTTAAAAAGAAGAAAGAGTGAAATGCATGGTCTTACCATTTGATATTGTATTTGAGAATAAGACAGACTAAAATAGGACATTTGATTGTGTCAATGGATAGACTCTAGATAGAAAAAAAAAGTAGACTGGCCAAGTGTTACTAGAAGAAACCAGACTAAAAGCTGGCTTCTCTTGCAATTTCATATTGTGTCATACAAATCGCGTGTGAAACTTCATAAACTATCTGGAATTAAATAGCAATGTAATCTGTAGACACTCACAAAAGGAAGGTATTTGCAGCATCCTTTCATCCTGACGAGATTACATTTACACAATCAGTACACAAAGGTAAAAGAGCTTCATTTGAAATTGAATCAACAAAATAAATAAGAAGATGATAATGAAGAAATATAATTTAAAAAGTACAAGCTTCTGGGAAATAGGAAAGAGAAGGCGAATTGAGACATCCAAAAACAAAACTTCTGACACCATTGGGGAACAAGCTAGAAAATGGCGAATTTAACAGGACACAATACATGAATCAACATTTGTATGTACAATTCTTGTATGATCGTTAAGTTGGCTGGATCCTTTTGAGCCGCATGTATTCCAAAAACTGGGAAGGTAGTTCTGCTAAAAGTGCTTGAAGGACCGAGTCTCCACCTACAAATCAATGCAACGGAATCAGCTCACAGAAAGAGAAAGCCAACTCACATCTGTCCTCTTATATAAGAGATGGCTCGTGGTAAGTGTTAAAATGACCTACTTTGTACATCCCGGAAGGGAACAAATTGGACTATGTCACGCACTGCAACACGCCCATGTGTTGATTCAAGTCTCTGTTTGTCAGCATCTAAAATCTGTGAACATACAATACGGGAATGTCTTTACACCATTAGGCGATTTAATAGTGTTGATAATACTGCATTCTGGATAAACAGAAAATACACACCTCCATTTCCTTGAAATCAGCTCCTCCAACCCCAACAATAAGAACTGACAATGGCAAATCCGCAGCATGAACAAGGGCATCCATTGTTTCTTGGAGATCTGTTATCACTCCGTCCTGGGATTTTGTAATAATGTAATCAGCACATTGAAATAACCATATGAAATTTACTCACAAATAAGCATGATGAAATTCAGCATTGACCAAAATTAAATAGGAGCTTCACTCCAAGTGAAATTCAATTAAAGGGTTTCCACACCACTTTTATGCCTTCTAATGAAATATTTACATGTCCATGCACATTTATATCTCTGCCATTTGTCTATATTAATTGAGAAAGGCCTGATGGGAACTCAGGCTCATGCTACCAAGCAAGGTTCAAACTTAACTCATTCGTTGAAAAAAGAACAATTCCCACTCAACAAACCAAGAAATCTGATAGCGGAGAAGAGATCAATTGGCTAAAACTCTAACCAATGGAAAGCCAACGTTCTAGCACACAATGGTTAACATTTTAATTGATCTAAAAACCATGACCATCAGGAAATAAGATGTACCGTGATTATTAACAAAACGAAGTACTTCCGCTCGCGCTTCATCAAAGACTGATTTGCTATATCTGCAGCTGACGTAACAACTGGTCCAAATATAGTTGGTCCTGCAAGTGAAACATTAAAAAGGGCACTCATGTATGCCGTCATGATACCCTGGATTCCTTCCACCTGGAATAAGAAATTACTGATTAGTAAAATAAGATGATAACCAGAAACAAGGGAATTCACAACATCAAAATATAACAAAATTTGGCATATTTAATGCTTTTTTGGACACACCTCACAGTAGTCACTGCTGCCATTTAGATTGAAGCAATGAGAAACAGGGCCATCGATTGGCCGCGCTCCAAAACCCCAAGCAGGATAACGTCGGTCTCTATCATAGAACTGCAATACCTCTCCAGCATCCAAGATGGCCTAAAATTTGAATTCCGATTTAATGAAGTTATTCATATGAAGTGTACATACAAGACCATTATGTACAAGACCAGTTTCTCACTCTCTGATAATCATTTGGCCGTCCTGAAGGATCGATATAATGCAATGAATCGTGTAAGCGTGGATTTCCATTAGAAGCTGACAAACACAACTCGTGTGAGAGAACAAATGCATGCTGAGATGAAAAATAAGAAATACGCAATGGCCATAGCAGAAGAAAGCTTAGAGAAGCAAATAAATGTAAGTGTAACTAATAGAATCGACATAATAGATGCATATTATTTGAAGGGCCAATCAAACTGTCATACTATTAGATCTTTCAGTTAATCCAAGCAATTCTTTCAGTAATGACACAAAAATATTCATATGGATGTTGAGTAAAGTGCCAAAACTAGCTAGATTAAAGATGATACAAATACAGTCACAAAGACGATCAGAGTATACAGAATTACGGGCACCCCAAGAATAGGAATTTTAAGCCCCTAAGGTGGCTCAATCTTACACCCCCAATGCCAAAAATAGAAAAGGCATCAGAGATGATGATAATAAGATTGGTGAAGGCAACACAATATGCCCATGCATAGTTACAGAAATATATGCAACTTTGCTCAAACCTGATATCATGAAGGAGAAAGAGTACAAAACATATATACAGACCCATGCATACCAGTAAAGTCAATGGCCACCATGAAGTTAAGTTCATAGCCCCATGCCAAGTAATCGAGGAATGTATGCTGGGTTTTCTCGAAAAAGCTATCCACAAAAAGCTGGCTCTTTAGGACCTGGCGAAATTGTGACCTCAATGATCAAATGAAGAAAGTTTAGAACTAGGAAGTACCTTTTTTCCTGACAATAGAGATTTACCTTGTTTTGCGAACTTTGTCCTACAGCAGCTGATGTGAAAAGATTAGTACTCGAACCAGTCGAGTGCAACACTTCTAAATCTGATAGTGATTTCTGAATCTTGCTGACAATTGTCATAGGAGAAAGACAGTCAGTTTCCAGTCCATAAAGGTCAGAAATGACAGAAAGATGAAAGGAAGGCCATTTACCCAATTAAATCATGCTTTCCGTTTGAATTGAAGTCATAACACTCAATAGTCAATGGACTGTCCTGCATTTGTTCAAACGTTATTGATATCTTAATATAGTTTCCTGACATACTCGACGAATGGTTATTATTTAGAATATACACCAATTTAGTAAGATAATTAGAGATACAGGCCCTCGATTCCAAGCTATAGATGACTACTATAAGATGAGAAAACTTTGATTGTATTCTGCGATAGGCCATGCATGAAACACTTCTAAGGAATTCTGGTACCTAAATTATTTAACTAGCAAATAAAATCAGAAAATACAATATAAGATTAAAGAGCAAAAAGAAAAGAAAAAAGGACAGCCCGATGCATTAAGCATCTCGTGTTCACGCAGGGTCAGGGAAGGGCCACACCCCTAAGGGGTGTGATGTAGGCAGCCTACCCTTGAGCATCAGTGGGTGATTCCACGGCTCGAACCCCACCTATTGGTCACACGAAGGTAACTTTACCATTGCTCCAAGCTCTCCTTAAAATTAAATAGCAAATACAAAGAAATTCTTCTAAGTGAGAGCACACAATCTGCCAAAACTCAGTAGTGCATACTATACAGGCATCCCTTAACTAATCGATGTGTAAAAGATCACTAGCTACACTTCAAATTCAATTATCTATGATTGATCTAGGAATCCACAGAAAATATGGTTAATGAGTACATGAAAAGTATTTCTTTTGCGCCAAATTCAAATTCCATAGAAAATTCTAACAATTTCACACTTGCTCATACCAACTTCTGATTCACATGGAATAGCATATGGTTCCATAGAAAAAGGCACTCTAGCTCGTAGCAGTATCTGTCTCACAGGGTTCCCTGTTTTCTCCCTTCCAAGGTACTACATTTTAGGGGGAGGGTATCAGAAATTCTTTTAGGAAGCACATGGGGGAACATTTTTTTTATACCTTACTTCCAACTTGTTGAATATTCACGATAATTGGTTTCCACTTTGGACTATGATCATCTTTAATAATTTCTGTTTTGCAAATTGGAACCATCATTCCACTCTCTGTATATTTAGATATCACCAAAAAGGGATCCTGCC